ACTTCTGTCCTCTGGAGAGGCGCTAATCTAGCCTTTGCCTGAGGTGATCCGGCAAATGGCTCTGCGCAGGGCTTGGGCAGGGCGGGATCAACAGGGCTGGTGGAGGGAGCAGTTATGGCCGCTCTCAGTCCGGTTCCCAGAGGCTCTGCTTCTCAGAACCCCAGCAACCGCTGCAAACCTCGGAGAGAAAGCTGCCCTCACGTTCCAACTGATGCCAGACAATCCCGCTTCTCCCGTTTGAGTCTGAGTCCCTAGAGACTCGCCTGGATCTGGAGCTCAGAGTCTGAGACTCCCTCCTGATTGAAAACAACACCCGCGCCCCCAGCCACCAGCCGTCTCCACTCGAACCTCCGTACCTTTGTATTTTCCACACTGCGTCTCCTCTGAGCCTCGGTATGCTGTTCTCTTTCCTTCTAGTTGAAGAGTCTCTCCTCAGCCAGCCTTCCTGTGGTTCTGGGTGATGTCCGTTCCGTCTTTTAGTTGTATTTTTGAAGTGGTTGTTTGCGGCAGCAATCTCCGGTGTTTACCTATGCCGCCATCTTGGTTTCTCAGATTGGTGATTTTTATCTACTATAAGTACTTTCCTTTTTTTTCCCCCCAAACTTGTTGTAAGCCATATTCATTACTTATAAAATAAGAAACAATGTGGGGAAAGTATTAAATTTGCACTTCAGAGTGAGAAATTTGATTTTATTAAAGGGAGAAAATATCTGGTGATAATTTTAAGTGAGTGACAAGAGAAAAAGCTTTTTAACTTACTGACATTATTTATTAGTGTCTTGTTCAGAGGAAAGCATAGAATAATTTGCTTCTCAAAATTTCTTCTAAGCTTAAGAGTTCATGATTATTTCTATTTCTTCTTTTAACCAGAGTTATATACACACCTGGCCACACTGATGATCATATGGCTCTACTTTTAGAGGAGGAAAATGCTCTCTTTTCTGGAGATTGCATCCTAGGGGAAGGAACAACTGTATTTGAAGACCTCTATGATTATATGAACTCCCTAAAAAAGTTACTGAAAATCAAAGCTGGTATTATATATCCAGGTGGGTAATTTTTAAATCTGGTAAACCATTTGTGTCAGATGATAAGAAAGATTCATTTTGATGTGTGTGTATGTGGGGGGGGGGGGGGTTTCTTTGTGTTTTTGGCCTTGAAGTCAGACATGTAAACTGCTTCTTTAAATTATAGCCCTAGCTCCTGTCTAGCCATGCAATATTTTTAAAAAGGCCACAATTTATATTAATGACTTTTTATAAACATATGAGGGTTATTTTTTAATATCTGAACAACTATTAATGGAACTATTAAACAAGGAAAATAACTTACAGAGGAACAAGAAAATTTTTTCATTCCATAAGTGATCTTCAATTTTGTTAATCTGATTTCTGTCATGGACCACATTTTAGCCATGTAACCATGGGTAACATTTGACCTCTGAGCTTTTAGTTGTTTTAACTCACACTATTGCAATAGTATCTTCCATATGAGCTGTAAAATTGTATATTTATCTAGATTATCCAGGAAAAGAAATCTGTCATTAGTATCTCAGTTGTCACTGTACTGCTCTGCAATATGAATCTCCACTCCATCCTGAAAGCTAAGAAACACACAGGGACCCAACAATAGGGCCCAGAAGGGAAAAAAGACTAGATTACTTAATTTTTTAAGTCCTTCTAACTTGTTCCTAACCAGAGAGCCATGGAAAGATCTGAAAATACAGTATCTTTACTACCCTCCTATTCTCTCATGAGTTTCTACTGCTGAGGAGGTAGAAAACGTACCCTGGGCATTTGGATTAATCTATAATAATAAAAGCATAATACAAAAATCGACCAAACGGCCAAACAGCAGAACAACCATCTGGAGTTCAATGACCACACTATGGCATGCACTGGCGCCAGGCCAGCCAAGGCAGGTGCAATGCAATTGGTCGGGAGGCCCCGCCATCGCCCCACAATTGTCCCGCAGAGGGAGGCCCAGGTGATCGATTGGGGATGGGGGGAAGGAGGCTCCGCAGTCGATCACCCCAAGGAGGCAGGGCCAGGCCACCGACCAGCGGGCGGGGCCTCCCTCTGCAGGGCAGTCGATGGCGGGGCTCCCAGACTGTGAGAGGGCACAGGCCGGGCTGAGGGACCCCCTCCCCCTGCACGAATTTCGTGCACTGGGCCTCTAGTATTATGACATAAAAGGAATGGAAGCTGACAGCTATTTTTAAAGCAAAGAGAATTGGTGCACTCACATTCAAGCAAAGCTAATGAGAGGCTGCCTAGGAAAGGCCCGTAGAGTGTTCGTTTTAGTGAATCCAGTGAACTCGCTTATTAGCACAGCAGGAGCTTATATGTAAATTATGTTCCGTAGCCATAGCTACCATATATTAAAGCCTGCTCCCCATCAGGTACCTGCAGGGACCTTTCCAGCAAGCTGTGGTCCTCACAAAAACCCAGTGAAGTAGGTAGTGGCGTCCTCATTGCACAGCTAAAGAAACAGTTCAGAGACTTTCGCGGCCTGGCAGCTAGTAAATGAGGGTCAGTATTCCAACAACACCCTGGTGCTCGTGCTTGTTACATGATAATAGGTTAGCCTGCTTCTGCATTTCTTTTCCTCGCATATTTTAAACACCCCTCTGGCAGACTTGTGTAATATATTAATTTACACTGTGTTAAAAGAGCATGTAAATTTCAATATAACTTTATCCGGGTTGTCAACATTTCTGAATTACAAGCCTATACAAAAGATTCTTAAATTTTTACTGTGATTCCTGTGAATTTTTAATAGCGTCACTTCCCTGAAGCTACTTTTACATTCCCCTTTTCAATCTTCTGTAGCAGCGGTTCTCAACCTGTGGGTCGTGACCCCTTTGGCGGTCGAACGACCCTTTCACAGGGGTCGCCTAAGACCATCCTGCATATCAGATATTTGCATTACGATTCATAACAGTAGCAACCTTACAGTTATGAAGTAGCAACGAAAATAATTTTATGGTTGGGTCACAACATGAGGAACTGTATTTAAAGGGCCAGAAGGTTGAGAACCACTGTTCTATAGGTAAGTGTAGCACAGTGGTAAGAGACGAGTGGGTGAAAGCTCCTGGGTCAGAATCCCAGCTCCACTCCTTAGCTGTGTGACCGTGGACAGGTTAGATACCCTCCTTATGCCTCAGTTTCTGCTATCAAAAAGGGATAATAATAGTACCTACCTCTTGGGATTCTTGTAAAAAATAATGTATAGCATTTAGAGCAGGCCTGGCAAATAATAAGAACTCTATAGGTGGGTGGGAAGAGATCAACCAATGAACTTGTATGCATATATGCATAACCTGTGGACACACAATGGGGTGATCTGGGCCTGGGGAGTAAAAGGAGGACAGGAGAGGGTTGAAAGGTTAGTGGGGAGGGAAGGAGGACCTGTGTAATACTTTCAACAATAAAGATTAAAAGGAAAAAAAATAAGTACTACATAAATATTACCTATCATTACTGTTGTTCCTGTTATTATTGCTATATTTTTATTTTATACTTTTTAATGTACACAGTAGCATTTTATATAGTTTTGATGTAATTGTCTAATGTGTTTTGGCATTGTAGGTAATTTTTAAGTCTTATATCTATATAGTTTTCCAAATAATTCTTATTTGTTGTGTATTTAGTGTGCTGTTTCAATACATCATGTGAATTCTTTTTAAATAAAATGAATGAATTCCAGTTATACTTAATATTTTTTATCTGGTTGAAATAATTTTTATAATTATTCTAATTCAGGACACGGCCCTGTAATCCATAATGCTGAAGCTAAAATTCAACAATACATTTCTCACAGAAATACTCGAGAACAGCAGATTCTTCAAGTATTTCATGAAAATTCTGATAAATCATTTACAGTAATGGAGCTTGTAAAAATTATTTACAAGGTAATTTTTTAATCTTATTTGTACATAACCACAATTTTATTAGAATAATCTATTTAATAAACTATAGGTATAAAAAAACTTATCACCTCCCAGGACAGAATAAGTCTGTTAATTTTATAAGTAATGCCACTTGTATAGTTTTGAAACCTCAACTTTCTAGAACACAGAAGTTAAACAAAACCTGGAGAACAAAAATAACCATTCTGAGCCACCATTAAACCATATACTTCATTCTGTAGCAGATGGTTCCCAACAGCATGATGATGAAGTTTTGGAATGACTTGCATGTTGGTCTAGCCATCTTGATTACCTGTTGTAAGTGAGAAGAGGCAATCTGCTCGAGACAGACACTGGGATACAGCAGTGAGGACTAGCAGCGATGCCTGACAATGGAAAAAGTACATGCAAAGAACATGAGTAGAGAAATTTAGTGCATAGAGAGAACCCCTCACTGCGATGGCATCTGAGCACATCACTATATGGCAGCACTACTAGTATGTGGCATTTGATTAGTATAATTCAGTTTTTCAGCAAATGTTTATTAGACACCTGCTGAATAGACAGTATAGCTTAGAGCTTAAGAATGTAGACTTTGGTGTTCGACTACCTGGGTTTAAAAACTCCCACTACCACAATCTACAGCCAGAAGATACATGAAGATGAGCTGGGGCCAATTACATTTAGGCAGGGGCCTTAATATCCTAAAGGCCCAAATTATCAAAAAAAGATCATCACTCAGTGTGATTTGTTTTAAAAAGGGAGGGATGATAAGGAAGGAAGGGAGAGGGGAGGGGAGGGGGAAAGGAAGGAAGAAAGGAAAGGAGGAAGGAAGGAAGGAAGGAAAGAAAGAAG